GTGATAGTGTTAGGTATGTACTCGATATCTTATTTATGTTTGAGTACATTCAATTATACTCCACATGTAATATTAGTGAAAGAACATTACGTTTCATGCATATTATTATGTTCGTTCCTAATAATTAAACACAATCAAGCACACGTGCATGCCATAAAAAAATAATCATGCCGACAATGATGCATCAATTGAAAATAAATGAAAAACGAAACTAATTAAATAATAATTGCATAAGTGCTGTGGAGCTGGGTGAGCAAAGCTCTTGAAAGAGAAAAATACATTACCACGGGAAGCCTCAGGTCCTGAGCATATCTCGCTGCAATCTAATAATAGGGAATGAACTTGCCTTCATTGATGAGTCGTTTCGTTAGCCATTGTGTATTGATAAGAATGAACACAAAAATCTTGGCAGGGCATCAAAAAAAAAAAATCATTATAGAAGTGAAAAAAAATCTCCCTACCATCAGCCATATTTATTTCACAACTAAACACCATTGAAAGCATGTTTGCTGGAGGATCTTGGTTTAGAGTTTAATTTATCATGCAGGTAAAAAATAAATAAATAAATTAGTATTTTTGCAAAAAACAGGGTAATTAAACTTATATAATCAAAGTACGTTTTCAAATCAAATCAAGATAAGTAAACTTTTAGATTCATAATTTATTCTATCATATTGTTGCTATTTCTAATTTTATTAAAAATATGAATTTTATAAGTTTAAATACTTATTTTTCTACTTTATAAAATTCAATTATAAACAGGCGCGCTGGCGCAGTGGGCCAGTGTTATTATTTTTTGAATTATGCTGATGTAGCCAAGTTTTCATATAATTATTTATACGCGAATACTTTATGTGATGCTTATAGTTAATTAACCCATTATCCATATAAATCACTATCTCAGTATCATCTTTAATTAAATTATGGCTTAAGCATTGTGGGCGAAATGGAAATTTCTCGTAAAAGTACTAATGGCGACTTGATAACCTATTTATTATTTACAATACTTTAATTACCATGACTGGTAAATGGTAATTAACAATGGTATGCGTATCATAATCAAGTACCAATAAACCCTACTTCAATCTTCATTAACTTGCTTTCTTGTCACAACATGCATGCACTGTTCTACGTAGTGTACCTTCCTTCCTCGAGTCTTTCATTAATTGTTTAATTTGAATTTTGAAGGCATTCTTGTCGCTGTCATTACGTGCATAATTTTTTGTTGGCATTTTCTCCTTTGTTGGTAAAAAATTTATTGCTAATTTACTTTGAGTGTATCGAACTTTCCCTTTCACTCTCGAGTCAAGACGTAGCGGCGTCGTTTTGTTGCTGCATGTTGTATACATATGGAGTACTAACGACGAGTCGTTCTTTCTCGTTTCACACTAATGATTTATTTATTTTGATAATACTTAATACAATCATGACTTATTTTATCTACATTGAACTTGTATTCCTTTGTATATTAGATTAAAGGATGTTTTCGATCTCAAGTAAATAACATTAATTCAACGTTTGCATGCCAGGGTATAAGCGTTGACACCATCCTAAGTCCTAACCATATATTTTTCATGCACTAATAACGCAACGGAATAACATAAAAATAAAAAATAATAATGACATGTAATGTTGTGCTATTTTATTTAGCAAGAAAATTGTTTAAAGTATGTTATCTTTGTAAAAACAAAGGATGAGTTACATGCATGCTTATAATTCGACCGTTATCGTTGGCCGGAGGGCGTTGATTCTGTGTCAGAGGTGGACTTGGACCATTATGGTGATTGAAATTTAAATGAGAAAATTATAATAAAATTCTACCAAAATATACAAATAACAATAAAATCTCTCAAATGTCATAATTCCTAAGTCTTTAAATACCTTTCTGACATTAAGGTTAAATGAATAAATTATCATTTGTTTAAATAAAACCAGCAGGTTTGAGTTTATTTTTACAATCACAATTTTTATTTCGTGAATTATAAAAATTGAATAAAAAATCATAATTTTTTACATAAAATTTCTTTTATGATTGATAAATAAGTTTTAAAAATAACTAGTCTTAATCAAAACTTTTGTTTAAGTAATCAAAATTTTAATTTTGTGAATCACAAAAATTAAATATAAAATTACAACCTTCCATATATAATTTTTTTTATTATTGAAGTTCAAGTTCTAAACATAGTCAATTACAATTTTTATTATGTGTACTATAAGAACTGAACAAAAATCATAACCTTTCATGTAAAATTTAAAAATAATTAGTTTTAACTTTTATTTAAACAAACGCAATTTTTATTTTATAAATTATAATAACTGAACATAAAAGCACAACTTTGAATGTCAACCCATTATTTTTTATCTTAAATAAAGGATAATTTAATCATTTAATCTAAAATTATTAATATCAAAAAGGTATTTAAGAATTTCAAATGAATTATAGCATTTTAAGGGGCTTAATTTTTTTTTATATTTTGATCAGATTTTATTGTCATTTTTTTAATTTAATATTTTATAAGATTATAATATATATATATATATATATATAAACTGTTAAATTGGATATCAGCAATTCAAAACTATAAATATAAACTATTATTAAAATAAATGAATGAATTTAATTAAATTTGGGATAAAAATAAAAATTACCTCATGAATTTTAGATTAAATAGCATTATAAACCCGTAATTTATTTATTGTGTAAATTATTATCTTAACTTTAAAAAATTGTGTAATTTAACCCCTACCAATTGCCGTTAACAAACTATGCAATATGACCTCTCTCAAATGCTATTTATTATGCAATTTTTTTTTATTTTTTGTAATTTTGGATATTATTTTTTAATTATTTTCTAATTAATTAACAGTTAAATATAAATTTATTAACAATAAAAGTTAAATTATACCTTTTTTAAAAATTAAAAAAATAATTTATATAATAAATAAGTTTATAATCTATAATGTTGTTGAACCTGCAGTTACAAGTAGTAATTTATTTATTTACCCTTACATTTGTACTGTTAATTTTCAATTTAAAGATAAGTATGGATTGAAAAGAAGAAAAAAAAATCTTAAAAAAAAAAGGAAAAGGAAAAAAAAAAGGAAAAAAAGAGATGGGGAAAGGATCCACTTGGGCTTTGACCCACGTGAATTCTCCTAACTCTCATTCATTGATTGGCTTGTGATTTAAGTGGCTCCGTCGCTCGTGAACATCGCTGTTAGGCGACCACCTTCACAGGCGACGCGGAGCCAACCGGGTCCCACAACGGAGGCATTTTGCGGGTCCCCATGCTATAAATTGACTGCATCCTTTCACTTTTATTTATTTATTTTTGAATGTAAACCTCTCACCTTATTTTATTACTCTACTTTTTAACTTTTGGAAGAGTCAAAGGCGAATGAGGGTGCTTATGTTGTGAACTGCAGGTGCGCGCTAGCTCGCCCATATCATCGTTTGCAATGAAAAAACACCACGTAGTTGGAGCAGCGCTCGATTTTTTTTTTTTAAAAAGCACAATTATTTTAATTTAACCACTAATTTCAAATAGCATTTTTATAATACGAGCATACGATACGACTATAAAAAATATAATTATTTTTGTGAATTAACAAAAAAGTACTTTTTGGACCAAAATATGAGTGAAGCCCAAAGGGGCCCATTGAAGAACAAAGAGACGAGCCGAACCCTCGATCTCGCGAGCTGCCACCGAGTAGAATCATTCATCAAATACTTATAATTACCCTTAGGTTGCATTTGGATGAGTATATTTGACTTAAAAATTTAAATTTAAAATCTCACAATTTAAATTCATATATTTTAGATTCTTTATTTGGATGATATAAAAATTTTAATTTATAACATTAAAATTATTTATTTGAATCTTAAGTACAATTTTAAATTTTAAATTCTATGTTAATGGTGATAGTTCAATTTTAGTTGGTATTGGTAGTCTAGTCCTAGACAATAAATAAAATGGGTCTCACTGATGACGGTTAATCTCATTGGTGGAGGTTCAATCACATTCGTATCAATAGTACAATTCTAATCAATGACGATAGTTTGATCTTGGGCTATGGCGGCAAATTGGCCCCGGATGACAATGGTGGGCGAGCCTCAAACAATGCCAACATTCTTGATTAACAATAGTGTTTGGCGCCGGTTATCGAAGGGCAAAGGTGGATGAATTATAGATAGTAATATAGACCAATCTCGAGTGGCGATGAAAGCAATGAATCAATATTGGTAAAACCAACGTACCAACACTAGACTAACATCAGATGATAGTGGGCTGATGCCAAATGACAATGGTGACATACGAGTATTAGGTGGTTGTGGCTATGGAGGATGATTGAAAGTAAATTAAAATTTTAAATCTCTAACGTGTAAAAAAAATTTGAAATTATAAAAAAATTACATTTAAACATGAATTTTGATTCTAAATTTTCATCAATTCAAATAATAAATTTGGCTCAAATTTAAATCTGCATATACCGAAACATAACATTAATCTCAGTCTTCCTCCTGGCATTAAGCTACTTTACAATTTCCAAAGCCATATTCTTTTTCATTTAGTCTTTCGAAATTCTTATTGTATAGCCGGCAACACCTTCTATTTGATTAAATCATCTTACCTTACATTGCATTTTCGGTTAACCCACATCAAAAAACCATGGCAAGGGACCTCAATGACTGCATTCCTTAGGAGTCCAATCACACTTTCGTTTTTGGTGTATAATCTTGCCAAACAAATTTATATTTACCTGTAAAAGTACTCATAACTAGAGCGAAATATGGAAATTACCACAGAGCAGGTAATCAGATGTAACTAACAATGCGATATCATCATATGGTTCGAAATGACACAGAGAAATCTCGTTGTCGTTTTCTTGGCGTCACCTGATTAGGGACTTAATATATAACAATTTTTTAATATATAACAATTTTGTTAGAGCTGTTGCGTTGTTATATATTATCGGAAGCAGCAAAACGCCGTGAACAACATGAGAGGCAGCCCGAGGGGCCTTCCAAGGCTCTGAATCTCTCTGCTTCTCTCTCTCTCTCTCTCTGTGCAGTTCTTATCATTTCTTGAGACTCTGCTTTGGCCTCTGCCTTGTTCCATCGCTTGGCTCCGACACTGACTCCGAACCATATGGGTTGTTTTCTCTGCACTCGCGAACCAATCAACAAATCCTCCACTCACAACAATTCTAAATGCCCCGTACGCTGCGATAAGACGACCACCCATCGCCTTGTTGCAGGTGAATCCTCCTCCTCATTTCTCTTCACTTTTCTCGAATCCATGCTCAACCCAGAACACATCAAATACTTTTGGTTTGGCCATGTTGCACCCAAATAATAATAATAATAAAATTCCTGAACAAAGTTATTGTACATTTTTTTGCGGGTAAAAATTCTGGATTTGGTCATGTCCTGAACTGATCCAAGTTCACTCGTGTTTTCGTTACAGACTATTGCATCCGGATCCTTTGTTTCTTTCTGGAAGTCTGTTTTCCGGCACACGTCTTTTTGAAAAAACAAAAAATAGATGATTGTAGATTTGGTTTTTTTTTTTTTTCATTCAACACCAGAATATATTTTTTATTGCATGCTAGCAGTTTCTGATATATCCATACCACCTCCCAGAAACTGTATTAAGGAGAGATTCAGTATTAATACTTCGTATCTTTCGAGAGCTTCAATCTGCAATAGTTTCTGGCAGGGGCGATTATCTATTTCCTGTAATATCAACAAATCAATGTCTGTGTCATGTCGTTTTCTATGATCTCGCCCTGTCCCTCACGTGTATCGTGTACGTATTACAGATAATGTTAAAGCAGACTGGAACGTGAATATGAAGAAGGAAGCTATTTGTTCTAAGCCTAATGGCCTCTCTCCGGAGATGAAGGCCTTAAATTTAGAAGGCAAAATTCCGAAGGACGGAAAAGTGAATAATCTGAATCGTGCAAAATCTTTCACATTCCATGAGCTCGCAGAGGCGACAGGTCATTTCAGGTCAGATTGCTTGGTGGGAGAAGGAGGCTTCGGCAAAGTTTACAAGGGATACTTGAAGAGAACGAAGCAGGTTCGTTCATATTCATCATTAAGCAAAAGCAGATCAACACACATATAAATTCTCTTTCATGCAATTCTTCGATGGGATTTAGCCCTTTTTTTGAAAAAAAAAAAAATTTGGGGGTGGTGTAGGTGGCCGCTATAAAGCAACTGAACCCGGATGGGCATCAAGGGAAGAGGGAATTTGTGGTGGAAGTGTTGACACTGAGTACGGCAGACCACCCTAATCTCGTCAAACTCTTAGGATTCTGTGCCAAGGGACAACACAGATTGTTGGTTTATGAGTACATGCCTCTGGGATCCCTGGAGAATCATCTCTATGGTGCAACTACTCACAAACTCTTGTTTTCCTTTTTTTTTCCCCCCTTCTCTTCAACTACCCAGTTAATTACATTCCAAAAAGGATCGAAGTTGATGGAGATTTTCTTCTTGTTTCTGAATTCTTGCAGATCTTCCTGCCAGTAGAAAAGCTCTAGATTGGAACACAAGAATGAAAATAGCAGCAGGAACGGCAAGGGGTTTGGAATATCTGCATGACAAAATGAGGCCGCCAGTGATATACAGAGACCTGAAATGTTCCAACATATTGTTAGGAGAGGGATATCATCCCAAGTTGTCTGATTTTGGGTTGGCAAAAGTAGGCCCGAGTGGAGAAGACACCCATGTTTCAACTAGGGTCATGGGCACATATGGCTACTGCGCTCCAGATTACGCCATGACTGGTCAATTAACTTTTAAGTCCGACATTTACAGCTTTGGCGTTGTTCTTTTGGAGCTTATCACCGGCAAAAAAGCTTTTGACAACTCAAGACCTGCCAAACAGCAAAACCTGGTCTCTTGGGTGCGTCACCATATCTCATTTTTTCTCTTCCTTACTTGCCTTCCTGGTACAATCCTCTGTTCTTTTTGTTAATTCTACTTCTGTTGTCGTCTTGTCCTTGTTCGAGTGTGTGTTGTGGCAGAAAAAATGGACTGCAAGTGGAGTTGTTTGAAAAAGTGATTTCCTTTTTTTTTTTTTTTTTTCAAAAAAAAAAAAAATCTTGAAAGGTTACCCCCTTTTCAATTTGATCATTTTTTTAGGTAACTTCCCCAGTTTAATCATCACAGTTTTCTTTGGAAAAAAACTCAAGTCTTTTTAATGGGCGGAATTGAGTTTCTTTAATAGGTCACAAATGAAAATGACAGGTAGAAAATTATTAAACTTATATTGGTATATGGATGTTAATAACTAGAATACAGTTGGAAAGAAGTTAATGCTTTGAAAGGTGTTTCCAGGCAAGGCCAATGTTCAAAGACAGGAAAAGATTCACAGAAATGGTGGATCCATCGCTTGAAGGTCAATATCCAGTGAGAGGATTGTACCAAGCCCTGGCTATAGCAGCCATGTGCGTGCAAGAGAAGCCTCACATGAGACCTGTGATTGCTGACGTTGTCACTGCTCTCAACTTCCTCGCTTCCCAGAAATATGATCCTCACAGTAATCAAACTTCTTCGTACAAGCCCAGATCTAGGGCAAGCCGTGATCCACTCACAAATCATAATGATCATACTCTTCTTGATGTCAGTCTCTCTGAGTCTGACAGATCTGGGAGCGAAGAAAATAATTCTGACTCGGACAGTCGATCTGGCACCCAACAAAACAATTCTGAGAATGAAGAAAATCATTCTGACTCGGACAGATCTGGGAACAAACAAAATTAATTATTTTTCCTCCACGGGATTTCATGTGTATATGTAGGGATGTGCCTGGTTATCTATTTTTGTTTCCTATTAAGATAACTTGTGCTATGTTGGATCTTAGCCTTTCTTATAAGTTTTAAAGGGGGGAAAAAAATCCTTCTTCGTTTGAGCTGGTTTTGTCATTAGGATTTAGAATCAAGTACAGCAAGTACGGGTTTCGGTGTTTGGTACAAGTTAACGAGGCGTCAAGTCTTACATATTGAAAGATTATTTTGTGCTTAAGCAGTAATGATTGACATACATATTAAGATATCAACAAATATAAAGAAGTACTCATCCAAGCTACAATGTAGATAGTTTTTTAAAAACTTTATTTGATTTAAAATATATGACATATGGTAGATGTTATATATATATATATATATACACTTCTTTCGTTCAAAAATATAAGATATTTTTTAAGAAGTTAGATATTAAAAAATATAAGGTATTGTTAGTCTTTCAAGATGTAATCATTGCATTTTTTTTAAAATATCTCTCTTAATAATGACTTTATATTTATTATAGGGTATTTAATAGGAGTAAATATAAAAAGATAGGATTAATTAAAAAATAGATAACTACTTTATTGAGGAGTGAGATTCAATTAAAAATATCTTACATTTTTTAATGGAGGGAGTATATTCAATTACACCCTTATTTTGTTGAATAATTAATGAATGCATTTTGAATAAGTCAAATATTATATTTCTCACTTATGGATATGATTGAAAAGATGTAAAAAATTTTAAAATATGGCAAGATTTATAATATATTTTTATCCAATTAAATCTAGACATGTTAGTTTTAATATATTAATGATATTAATAATGAGAATTTGTTATAGATTAAATAATATATAAAGGATACACATATCTTGGTTTGATTGAAAATAAATACCCTTAGTACATAAATTTAAGTGTATAAATTTTTCTCTTTCAATCAAGATTTTAACTGATTTTTTTAGAAATATAAATTAATTAACAATAACTTATATTGTGGTATAGAATATATGATTAAAAATATATTATCTTCTTTTATCAATTCATCAAACTTTCCCTTCCCATAGATGGTAAGGTTACAACAACCTCATGATCAATTAATTATGATACATTTTAAAGTTAAAGTACAAATTTACTCTTAAAGTTTTGCTAAAACTGTAACTAATATCTTAAAGTATTTAAAAGTATAAGTTTTTTTTTTTAACGTTTTAAAAAATGGCACAAATTTACCCTATCGTAAAGTAACCAAACATTTGACCGTTAATTGACTTTATTGTGATGATGTGGCATCCCATGGCATTTATCTCTGTTTTTTTCCTTCTAAAAAAAATGTTTTGACCTTGCCTTTCCTACCAAAAACCCCACCCCTCTAACACTTTTGACTGATCGATTTGGCTCCATCATTAATGACAATATTGAGCTTTACGCCCTACAAAGCAAACATAAAACAAACAAGAATTTTACAAACAACTCAAACTTCATAAATCACGCAAATACACCAGACTAAAGATTGCATCAAGTAACAACACCAGAAACTTCGAATCAAAAAAGTTAGTTTCCACAGGTGAAACATGCACCCATACTATTTCATGGTATAATAAAGCTTCTTCTCATTAGCACAAGGATTTCTGGAAATACAATCTATCAATTCAACATAAATATACCAAAGAGACAAATATGAACCCTACTAGATGAGGAGTTGTAACATCCTTAAAATTTTAACTTAAGGTTAATTAGATAATTAAGGATTAATTAAATAATTGAGAGTTAACTTAAATTAAAAGATAATATATGGACAGCTAATAGGTCTATTAGACCTTAATCAAGACTTAGAATTGGATCTTAGGTAGTATTGGGTCACATTTGGGCCCAATTAAATGAACAGTATTTAGAAAGCTAGAATTTTGATTTTTGGCCGCAGCTAAAGGTTTATTGGCCATTGCCAAAGCTCAATTTTTAGGCTTTTAAATTCACATTTTAGCTCAAAAAATTATTAGTTTGAGTGGGAGTTTGAAGGTGAACGAAGAGGGCTTTGCTAAAGTTTGTTGTGGGCACTCAATTGAGCCTATTTGGAGGTTCTAATCACTTGGATAAGTGCCTACAACCTCTTCTCTTCCTCTCTTTTGCATTTTCATCAATATTTTTGGGCAGTTCTTTGAGAGTTCAAAAATGGGTTGTGGTTTTACCTTGAATTTTCACTTTAATAGGATTAATAAGTGTTTATTTAAATATTTAACCATTGGGTTATAATGTTAAGGATGTTTTTAGGATTTAAAAGTGGAGTTTAGAATAAACTTTAGAGTTAATTAGTTGAGCTAAGAATATTATGAGTTATCAATAGTGTTGATTAGACTAATGAGAGTCTAAATGAACTAATGAAACCTAAAAATAAATTTGGTTGTGGGTAGATAACCACGATGAGATTTTTAAGTTTAGGCTTTGATTATAGTTAATTAAAGATGATTAGTCATTAATGACTATTGATGTGTTTGATTGTAGATTGACCATCGTCGGTGTTATTGAGCTTATTAGAGGCTCTATTTGATATTCACAGGTACTTTTAGTTGGTAAACCAAGAGTTGAGATAACTAAAAATTTAAGTATAATATATTATTGTGTCTACATTTACACTTTAATTATTATTATGGATGGCTTCAAATGAGCTTATGGATGAATATGTTGATTTTAAACTATTACCCAAATATAAAATATGATTCATTGTGATGAAGTATTTAGTAATTATATTTATATAGATGTTATTTGATATTTGAAATATGAATTGTGGTCTTGGTAGAGGTGCTTATAGGCTTGATTTGGTTTGATTTTGGCCAAAAATTAAACCAAACCAAACCATTCAGTTTATTCATAATTGAGATCTAATTGATTTTTATGGAACTCAGTTTGGTTTAATTTAATTTGCGATTTGGTTTGGTTAAGGTTTGGATCAAGCTTCAATATACTTATTTAATTTTTTTTTCTTTTTTTTATCTTCATAATGGTGTTATGTATTAAATTTAAATCTAATTCTTTGTGGCTCCTTTTTTTTCATAAATAGAGGTATAAAAATATAATAAAATTATTTCAATGTGATAACGATTATTAATCATAAAGATTGATCTAAGTTTTTAAGATTAAAATTATTTAATATTATGCATTTTCATTCAAGTCTTTTGAAAATGTTTATCTAATAAATTGAAAAACTTACTATATAAAATTTAAAACAAAATGCTTCTTGTAGATAAATTGAATACTGAGGCTTTCAAGTTATAAATAATTAAATGATGGTTATAGCATCATTATTATAATTATTTAATATTATGTATTTTCATTCAAGTCCTTTAAAAATGTTTATCTATTACTATAAAAAATTTAAAGCAAAATGCTTCTTGAAGATAAATGGTTATATATTTTATAAATAAATAAGTAATATTTTTTAATCAAGTTTGGCTCGGTTTGGTTCATTCTCTTATACTTAAAATCGAACTTGAATCAAACCAATCAATTCTCATATTATAAAAATCAAAGCAGTCTTGATTGTTGTTCGGTTTTGATCGGTTTCTTTTGGTTTAGGCCGATTTGGGTTGGTCCTTTTGATTTGGATCGATTTTGAACACCCTTAAGTCTTGGATTGCCTAAGAATTGATTATATAATGACTATTATAAACTATAATGTGGTGTAAACTATGATAAACATACAAGTTCTAAAATTATGAGGATGATGGATTACTTTGATGTGTATAAGCTTATATTTGCATTTGTTGATTGAACTTGTATAATCATAATGGATGAGAGTTCACCCTAGTATAATAGAGGAATTATGATAGAAAATCTATGTGGTGTAGCCTTCACTGAGTTTGCACACAGTTATTGGCATAATTCATCATTATATATACTTAGTATTGCCAACAACTTGCATGTGCAGCATAGGTCAAGCACAATGCTTAGTATCATGAGTCCTAGATTGGATGGTATAGATCGAGCACTTATAACACTTTGAAATTCAAGTGGGGGGAATTTATAGTCCGAGAGTGAGTGTGGGAGCCTTTGGCTAGGTGACCCTTCATAACTGAACTGGGCTAGTCTAGCCCATGAGCTAGACCTATATGAGATAATGGCTTATAAATTTAGTTAGATGATATAATGAGTGGTATAAGGTAGTTGCATTTGATCATGTGAAACATATTATAAAGATGCGTTATGAATAATGTTGGTTTGTCTTATGTGATATTAAACGCTTAATTGTTGTCATTACCACACTTTAATATGCTTGATTAAATTACTTGGTTACTAAGATGTTTATCTCACTCTTGTTGTTTAATATTTATAGACGAGGATCAAGCTAAGAGCAAATGAAAGGCCTATGAAGCTAGAGATTAAGTAATCAATTATAATGTCTCTAGTTTTATCTTTTATATGTAATTTGAATAAAATATTTTTCAACTAGGGGTCTTTCATATTGGCTTATGTTAGTTTGAAGTCTACTTGCATTTGTAGTTTTAAACATTGAATTTAGTCATTTTTAGATTTTCTTAGCTATAGAAGGGTTCAAACCCCTAATCTGACCATGGTAATATGTCAAGATAGTTTGAAAAAGTATATCTTGACAAGTTAGATAAGTTTAACGTGTTTTGAGTGATTATTTAGTTTGAATGTAAATAATTATATTTTCACCCTCTTATTATGTGTTTTATGATGGTTGAGTGGCCAACTCTTGTATCAAGAGTTGCTTGATGATTGTGACTATTCAAACAACTATATTAGGATTTATTGAGTATGGTTCAAACCCTTGTGTGGGTAAATGACTTATTATTTGAGATTTGGACACTTGGTTGATGGTTTAGAGGTAAAAATGTGAAATGGTGGTTTCAAGTATCCAAATTCTTTGTTTGATGTCAGATTGACATGAGAAAACCATTAACTAGAATATGAAATTGTTGACACGTGAGCGATTGAATCACTTCAATCAGAAGTCTGAGTCAAAAGTTATACATGTCGGAAGTTTGTGATTGGAAAGCTGTTATGACAGTTACTGTTATATCTTTGGCTGCGGCTAATAGATTTTCGACTGCAGCTAAAAGACTTCCCAAGACCATTTGGCTGCAGCCAAAACTTTTCTAAAAGTGTTGGC